CATAAGAACCGGATGTCTCGCTACAACCCGCTGAAGGCTAAGTCACCCAAATCGGAAGACTAGCGCGGATCTCTTTCTCACTCGGAAGTCTGAGAATGACTCCTCCGGATTTGTCAGCTAAGAACCGGATGCCTCAAGGAAGACCGGAATTCTCAAAAAGCGGACAAGTGAGAAAAGACTTAGAAAATTATCTAAGTCTTGAATGAAGAAATTCTACCCGTTGGTAAGGAAAAATCAATCTCTTGATTTTCAACGGCTAGATTGAAGATAATTATGCTGATTCAAGAACAAATGACTCGAAGACAAAGTGTGAATCTCTAAAAATTGAAGAACCTGTCCAGAATTCCTAAACAAGCACTAGAAGACAAACAAAGTAAAGTTCTACAGTCCAGAATACTTGAACAGCAGCTAGAAGACGGACTCTATGGGAAAAGGGAATCTCTCCTTTAACAAATGGGTATGTCCAAACACCCATTCCAATGAGGAATCTTCAAATCACAATCTTCATTCAAAATTGGAAGTCAGGCACACCCAGCTGATAGAGAAATCTGAAGGAAAACACAGCGTAGATCTCAAAGAAATAAGCAAATCAGTGCAGAAGACTCTGGAGATTATCTCTCTATTGAGTGAAACTGTGAGCAACACGATGGAAATATATGCCTCTGACAGTCAACTTCAACTCAAAGAAATCAACAAAGTCAAAGAGCAAATAGCGAGTGTCACAGTTAGTCTCCCAAAACAGATATCCCTTCTCCAAATGGACATTAGATCAGCCCTAGCAGTAGCTTCTGCAAATCAGGTAGTGACCAAAGACTACTTGAAGGTGATCATTGACAATCAAAAGGAAGCATACAAGCTGTTCAGACTTATTGGCGCAAATTCTGGAAACCGCAAGATGGAAGTAATTCTCCAACAACACAGTCCATCTCCAATACCACAGCTTCCTATTACAGTCAAAGAAGGAGAAGTATCTTATATTCCTTCTCATCTGAACTTGACAAATCTAATCCTTGAAGCACAGCAAAGAAATCCGGAAAACTCAGCACAGCTTCTATCTAGCTCAGGACTAGATGGAACAGAATTTATAGGTACAGTTGTTGACCACTTCTCAAATGATGCTCAATCAGAAGAGAGACGTGAAAATTTAAGGCGTATCAAAGAACTGTGTGGGAACATGAAGGGCATCAGTGAAGTTGCCGGATCTCCAAAGCGCAAGAAAACTGAAGGTTCTTTTCATCAAAACAGGGGGAAAGTATGTGAAAACATGAAGGGCATAAGTGAAGTTGCCGGATCTTCAACAATTTTCTTAATTATGCTTAATTATGCTTATCTCAAGTATGATTCTGAGAATTTTTTTTAAGCGCATACATTCAGGGGGAATGTATTTCAAGGGGAACTTAACTAGTTTTTGGCTAACAATTGTTTTTGGCAATGAATTATTGATAAGCTCTAAGCAATGGAAGACGGATATCTCAGTTTTTGTACTAAAATTGGAAATCTCCGATTCAGGTA